CACAAAATCGCGCCCGTCCCACGCGACGGAAAAGTGGAAAAGGGGCGTCGTCGTGAATGTGTTAAGAAGGGAATCTGAGCAAGTTCGAGCTATACTCTCTTGAGTGATTAGTTGCGTTGCCCAATCTGACCTTTTCCAGTCATTTTCCGTTCACTTTCAATTCAAAGCAACTTCAGCCGCCGTAGCAAAGCGTTATTTCACTTAAACAAACTGTCGGAACTGGCATCTACATTATATTTCCCTTTGAAATAAGGATGACCGCATGTGACAATCAGGCTTTTTGAACTATGTACAGCACTGCCTGTTCTTTCTCTATGTGCGAGTAGGGAAACGGGTCACAAAAGTATTTTTAAATTCACATAGAATCTGCGTTGGCTTTTTTCTATGCTTTTCTGTGTGATGTTACTGAATGTGGCTCATGAAGTTCTCGTATTTATCTCTTCTCTAGTCTGGTTGCGTTTCTTCTCTATTCACTGTGCAGCTTAAATCATGAAGAAACTAAAAAAATAAAACGAAATGAAATGAAATGATTACACCGAGACTGACCTGATGCACAAACTTTTGTAGCTAATGGTGATTTGACGAAAGCCGGTAAGTGACGAATATTCAAGCGCGAGTTGCCAGAAAACTCCGCATTTCGCCATAAGCATCGTGTCGACTCACTCTTATACCATCGCCTGAGATCCTACACGATTACTGAGATCAAATGTATAGGAAAAATTGAGTGCGCATATTCAGCATAACTGTGACGATTGAAACGTAAATAATTTATTCTGCAATATGCTGTCAGAACGGTTCAAGTCGTCACAGTGTCAAATATATCCCCATGCTGGAACAAGGAAGATGGACGCGTCAAAGGCAGATTTTATAATAGAAAATGTAGCTCATTGGAACATAAGAGTAGAGGTGGCTAGTGGAGTAGGTAATGAAGAAGAAACCATATGAAACGGCTCAAAACCCACAGAATGGGTCCCTTGCTTGCCCGTTAATTTCCGCATTGATACGACTCTTCATCGCTGTGCCCGCTCAACCTACCTACACTCTCTGCTATCCATCACACGTACGGTCCAGCATCGAGTGATTAGATGGTCGTGAGCGTACAACCGGCCAAGCGCGCCAAGATTGAGGTGCTGCTATTCGCCGAGTGTCAAATCTTTCGCTGCCAGTTGGCGGCGTCCGTCAGCACCCTCAGGGGGTCCGCCTGTCTCCTAACAGTGCAATGTCCCTTCTTTGACCTTCGTTCTTATCGTTAATTCCCCTTAAAAGTGTGGTTAACGCGTGGATTTGATTTGCTCTTTTCTTTGAAGAAAATGGGCCGCGTCAAATGCTTATGCCATCCATAATTTTCTTCAGAATTTCTCATGGGCTCTAACGCTATTCAGCTATGGTGTGCATGTAATACAAATGAGGAAATCCTCGACTCATGCCAATGCACACAATGGTGGAAGCATTTATAACTGATAGTTCGGATATTTAGCCTTTATACTGGACGTAGCGGCATTGAAAACGCTTCATCAGAGAAACTGCTGTGTGCTCACTAGTACGATCGCTCCTGCTGCTTGTTGTAGAACTCAACGAGGAGTGTATCCAGGCAAAACTTGGGAAATTGAAGTGCTCAAGGAACTCTTAAATTCTCATTTTCCCGCTTTCGAATCCGTGGTCAACTTTTTTTGTGGTCTCGGCTCCCTGCGAAGCTCGAAGCGTTCACGCTTCACAAAGTCTCTGCTCAGAGAGAATATGAGTTGCACTCACAATCCGCGTAGTACCATCGCCGAACTATGTGTCGGGCTTCTCTGGAAAATTTTCATACGAGACAGTGAAAATGATGACATGGGCAGTTGTAACTTGAACGGGAAACCGAAGTGGTTGCAATGGGCCATCATTGCATCGCCTTGATAAGAAAACTTCGATCGAGTTCAGTGATGGGTACCAGACAGGTTAGTAGGTACGAGTCGTGTTCTCTCTAAAAAGGGACTTTGTGAGCGTGAACGTTTCGAGCTTCGCAAGGAGCCAAGACCTCAAATAAAGTTGACGACGGATTCAAAGCGGAAAAATGAGAATTTAAGAGCGCTCTTGAGCACTTCAATTTCCCCAGTTTGCCTGGATACACTCGTCGTTGAGTTCTACAACAAGCAGCAGGAGCGATTCGTACTAGTGAGCACACAGCTGTTTCTCTTGAGAAGCGTTTTCATGCCGCTACCGTCCAGTATAAAGGCTAATATTACCGAACTAATCAGTTATAAATGCTTCACCATTTTGGTGCATTGCATGAGTCGAGGATTTCCTCATTTGTATTACATGCCACCCATAGCTGAAGCGTTAGAGAAATGAGAAATTCTGAAGAAACTTTAGGATGGCATAAGAATTTGACGCGGCCCATTTTCTTCAAAAGAACAGAGCAAATCAAATCCACGCGTTAACCAAAACCAAGCAACACCATTCTTAGTTTTCCGACACGCCGAAACCGATGGTTGCTATGCCGATTTACGAAATTTCCAAATAAGTCGGAAAACTGAAAAATTAGGGGGTGGCATATAAAATTGACGCGCACTGTATCTGCTGCTTTGACGAAATTGGTTGCAACATTTACGAAATGGGCTGAAAAGTTAACGGAAATAGCTGAAACGTTTACACAATCGGTTGCAACGTTTCCGAATGCAAGGTTTACGAATTGGTGTGGAAAACCGTGTAACTTAACTGTCAGAGCATCTCAGGAGTGATGACAGTTTAGTTAGTATGAATAAAGGGACTAGCTGCCTACCTTTTTTCTTCTACTTCACTTCTTCTCCTCTCATCCCTATACTTACAAAGTTACCACAGTGGCAGATAGTGAAATAAATAGGAAACAATTTTGAAAAAAAAAGAAACCCACATTCCTGAGCGAGACACATGCGCTAGGCTGCCTAAATGCTGTACAATTTTCAAAATAACATGTTCTGGCAACGCGTCGAGAGTGTCCATCCCTGCATATTTGTTCTTATCACGTGCTGTTAAAAATCCTTGAGCCTTACGCATAGAGTTATGTGCTTACGGATTTGAACCCCTACAAATAAAGCGAACAGAGGAATGTATAAAATTTATGGATTTCACACGGTTGAACTGAAAATTTTGGAAATTGGCGAAATGAAAGAGATAACTAATTCATAAAACTTCTACATGAGGACCGCAGAAGTGTATACACTTGATATCCGAGACTCCGGGGTAGGCGTATCAGCAGAAGTGCCGCCGCACTTGATAGAAGTTGCGTGGATGTGCTGTCAGCATGCTTTGCTGACATCCAGCCATGTATGTTTAAAGCATCTTATCAACATAGCTTCTATCAAGTGCGGCAATGGCCACTTCATTTCCGGTGGCACGCCTACCCCAACTCTCGGATTTCGACTGTACTTAGAAAGTACGACAGAAAACAGACAGTAAAACAACAAATGTACACAGGGCAACGAAAGACATTCTCCAAGGCTTGTAAATAAGCGTGTGGGATGATTGAGGAAAGAAACGAAGAATCCAAGCAAGTTACCGGCTTCGAAACAAAAAGAGAACACTAAAAACGACTAGCGAAATATGTCTAAAATGCGATTTCATGATCACGCTAGAAACACGTGATATTATGGACCACTAGAATACTATAGATCATGTGAAATACATTGAAACACTAAGGCAACGAAATGATCTGGCAATTTGGCCAAACACGATACAAGCAGCAATATGAATAATGGCAAGAGCTTACATTAGCCCAAACTCCTACAGTGTGGGATGTTCCTGACCAATATTAGACATATCACATTTAACACCCATTTTATAAGAGGATGGTGGACCTGTTTTCCGTGCTAGAGTACAGATCTGAGTATGCCATTGCGTCGAGGAAGATCGATCTTTCCCACCGTCCAGAAAGTTTAATTGATACCAGTCATCTCTATGAAGAAGAAAAGTTTGAATTTCATGGCCGATACCCATAGCATAGGATTGTTTTTCGAGTACTGCCAAAATTATTAGCGCAAGCCGAAAACGTGTCACAATGCACTAAAATCATTATCTGTAATAGTTCGCGGAGGAGCACCCCGTAACAAAACCGAAACCTTTCAAAATCACGAACAGGATGTGTATTCGCTGAAATCACTAAAACGCTAACTTGTAATAGTTTTAAGCGGTGAAAAAATAGATAGCAGAATCATTTCAGCTGTTGCAAGAATGTGTACTAAAAGGAGTAGGCGGGAGTACTAGCCAGCGAAAATCGGAGAAGTTTGGGTGCCTTTGAAATTTCTTCGTGGATAATCTATTCAGCATATTAGAGTTGATGAGAGTTCACAATTTTAACAACTGTAGGTTTCTTCTTGGAAACATTTTATTTGCAGAACAAAAAGCAAATCCTTAGAACTGCGACACTTCCCTTACCATTGGGACTCTTCTGAAGGGATACTGATTCAAGAAAGATCTTCGTAGAGAATCTGTTAGATGGAAGTTCGACTAATCCTCCTACCACTGCAAAAATAACTTCGTCAGAAATTCAAATACCTCGAGAAACATCTTTTCGTCGTGAGAAATAGAGAACAATGAGCCCAGCTTTACATGGCCTTTTTTTGATCCGCGTTAAATACTTTTGACTTCCGTTCAAAATTTTGATGAAAGAAGATAAATGTTACGATCACGTTAATGGTTTTTGGGCAAGCCGGCAGACTCCTAGCCGTGAAACCATAAAATAGGGTCTACTTATAGAGTACAATTACATTTAACTTGTAATAGTTTCTTATTACTTACACCGTCGGTTTTTTGACCACATTCGAAAAACTCAGTAAGCCGTGAGATAGCCATGATGTGCATTAAAAAAATTTCTAACGGCACACTCGTACATATTAAGCTGTCTACAGTGAAATCCTGTTCCACACCACCTCTCAATGAAAGCACCGTTGCGCCGTTTAGTGTTAATACCTGCACTGAAGAACCAGTACACCCAATGAAAATTCCTCAACGCAAGGCGTACCCTGTGCAAAATAGAAGGTACATTAGCTTTTCTTCTCGCGCCATTCTTCGGGTACTGCGCCAACATCCACATATAGGTGGTAATAGAGCGGTCGAACGGTGACCTAAAAAATGCCATTTTCAAGATTATCAATATGGTTTGTTTTTTCTCTGCATTGAGCGTCAGCATACAGATTAATGTAAAATCGAAAAGAACTTGACATAAACAGAGCATCGACTGGTGCTGACCTTTCGCACAGTCCACTTATCGGTCTCGTTCAACCCATCATATCCAACCCGTTTTTCTGCTATTTCGAGCAATTTATATCTGTAAAAAAACCTGCTAAAATACACTTCGAATACACTTGATTCAAAAGAAAAAGATTGATTACAAAGGTCGGAAAAGGTTTTTTCACTTCGAAACTGAATTTATCACGCCTTGTTAGATTCATTCGGATTCTTTCAACTGATAACTGAATAGCACATCTGAATCTATTGAAGATTCGCTGAAGCATCACAGCATCCTTCCGCAAGGGCGGAATCAGAACTGTCACGGGAAGACGGTGCAAGGAACGAGCTCGACGAATTTCTCGACAAATCGGAGACCTTGTAACGTTGCTTGAAATGCAGATCTGCAGAGCTTATCCGGAGCGACTGTATCTACGAAACCGTTCAAAGGTAAGTCTAGTGAAAAAGCTGCCTCGGGCTGCAACAGTTACGGAATGTCTCCTTGCACTTGGCGTAATGGCGGCCGACTTCATTTATTGGAAGGTGAGCGCTGAATTGGGCAAAAACTTGCTTCTGGTCTGAGGGAACATTTAAGGAACATTTGAAGTAAGACTTCCATACGATAAGAACTTGGTACGACGAAAAATTTGCTAATGTGTGTGCGCCATGAAAAACAAGATTTTTGACCCCTATAAATGAAAAGTACATATTAGTAGGAAGGCAGAAAACATCGCAAAACATACATTAGCTTTGGTGCAGTCCTTTTCCTTTTTACGTGTTTCAGCATCGAATATCGACCAGTTTCCGAGTGTGGCCGTTCTATCGTGTAATTTAGCGAAAGTATGCGTTTTCCTGAATGCGTTTATTTATTCAGTTTTACATCCTATTTCAGAAACTTCGCACAGAATTAGTAAAAATTGCAGAAAATCAAAAAAAAAGTTTCCAAGAATGGTAGGTGATGTGAGTGTGGAATATACGAAAAAACGCTTTATTTCGAAGTTTTTTGTGCAAAAACCTGGAAAGCTGACTATATCTAGAAAAAATACAAACCCATATCATCATCCTCTCCACCCCATGCCCAGTACATGTTCGAATATCCATTAATAAAACGATAGTCCTCCATCGACACAGCCAGCACACCTCCGACAATTTCCTTGTACCATAATCTATAAATATTACAGAAGACTTATAAAGCAACTAGCGGCGAATCAAAATATTTTGGTGGAAACGTCAGAAAAAGCAAAACTCTTCACAATTACATTGCGGAAATAATATATCCTAATTGAACACAGGATTGTCCGAAATTCGCTAAAACACTGTCACATTCTGATCTCAGTTTATCTGTATGAAAGAATGCCACTTAGATCGAGGGAGAGGAAGAAATCCCTCTAAATTTGGTTGTTTTCCTTTAGCATTACTATAACTTCATTACTTTGAGCACATATTTCTACGTACTCACATCCATTGCATTATTAGGTTCCCTTAATTAGTGAGTCGCTTTGGGTACTTTTGAATTCAATTTTTTTTCTTTTATCTGCGAAGTCCTTGCGCATACAAACATACACCTCCGTCATCTATAACGCACTGCCTACTCATAGGATTTAGTCGCCTTCGCTCTGAAACTGCGGGAGGTCTTGAACAAAGGACTGGAAGTCGGGTTTGAGGTCGTATCATTTATAGTAAAATTTCTTCACGGAGAAAAGTGCTAGAGCTGAGACAAGGTTTTCCTTAGCTGGTACGAGGATAGTGCTACACAACAAAACTGAAAGAAAGGTTAGCCTGAGAGTCGCCATTGAGTAGTCTCCCCAAGGTAGGCCGAACGACCTCAGAAAAAAGCCGACTTTGTCTTGCTTTGCTTTCAAATTGAATACGTTGCCACTGTTCTGCCCACGTTTGCCTTCTTCACTGAGCCTACCATTACTGGGCGGAGGTTCCCAGCGCAACATTTCAGAAGTGTCGAACTTAAAGGAAGTTGTGCTAGCCATGTAAGGCAGCGTTTAAATGGGCTGACCAAATGCTCAGGTAGAATAATGTGGGCGCTACTTCGCAAAACATGTTCCACGCCTTTACCATTTTTCTAGAAATGTTTTATGGCAATAAATGCAAAGTGATTGACTAGTTATGGTACAACCTAATACTTTCGAACCCACCAAACTTTGTGTTTTCAAAGTAAAAAAAATGCCATTCTTGGGATAATACTGCTCGTGTAAGCAAAACAATAAAATCTGAACGAATTTCAGTACAGCAGTGAGGTGCAGCACGCGCTACGGTCCAGTCTACCATTCACAGTTTTCCCAACCTTCAAAATGAGTCGATTGGCCATCTTCTATCGCTCCTGAAAGCAGAAGGTCCCGCCCCTCTATTGCATCCCTATTAATCTCCCAAGGTATCGACCTTGTAACATTACAAGGTTCGCCGCTCATTTCAAAACTGATGTTTGTATAGACGGAATCATACATAGCGGAACGTGCTAATTGAAAAAACCTTAACTGTAGAATGACAAAATCAAAAAAAAAACTAACTGATATCCTAGATTGCTGACGAATGCTCCCATATGCCTTGGTGATGGAGGGCACGAATAAGGGTTACGGTCGTCTTGCGGAAACATATCGACATCGTGGAAAATGACACAGTCGACATTCAGTGTCTCCGCAAAGCGAAACGCCGCATTCATTATGCGTCCTTTGTTGAAAAGGTCGTTTCCATACTGAAAGTAAGCGTTCAAGTGGCCATCTCCGTGAGTTGGATATGGAATCGATTCGGACTATTCTTCAAAATGCGAAGATAAATGACGTATTGCACACCTACCACCTACCTAACTATAACCACTGATAAAAAGATAGCAATGGGCTCGGTCAAACACCCACAGAAAATTAATAAAATATGTGAAAGAAGAAACTGTCTGCGTGAGTCATTAGAAAACCAATCTTCAAATCATACTATATTAGACGACGCAAAAATTAACTGAAAAAATACAAACCTGCTCTGTAACAATGAATCGAAAGTCCAAACGCTGCCTCTGGAGAATGGGAATGAGAAAATCAAGCAGCCTTGTTAGGTGACTCTGCCGATCACGAAAAGGGATGATAATAGCCACTTTGTGACGAGCCTTAACAGAGAGAATAAATATTTCAGGTTGCATCTGTAAGAACTTTTTGACTTAACGAAATTCTTCCTCCTACTCTCTATCCTTTTGTATATCATTCAAAACCTGCTTTTCTGCTCCAAGTGGATATATATGTTGCTTTTATTATAGTTTCGTTATGCCCCCGTCAAATTTAGGCCCCGTAATAAGGTGTCCAGGCGATGAGAATTACGATACGACTTCAAGAATTATTTTCTTTACAAAAGATGACGAAATACCACTGACGCACTTGGAAAAGACTTCTTTTGAAGATGCCGCCGTGTTCCCAATGCTTCAGCGATTGAAACCAGGCAGCGGTAAAGTATCTAGTTCGGGCAAGAAATCCAGATTTGAAGAAAAAATAACACGACTTACACAACTTAGTAGAAGTATATTACGAAGGGTCTTGACTAAGTAAAGGCCTTGAGAAAAAATAACATTACTCATGGGACGAACTCACAACAAGAAATTAAGGAAATCTGCGCCGAATGCGTTTGGCAACGTCGGATGCTGGCTCTTGGTTTACAGAGCGGAACAGCAAGAAACAGAGGAGGTATAACTTTCAGAACTTTTGAAATGCTTTCAGCATACCATAAATGCGATACAACAACTACGGCAAACAAAAGCATTTTCTTTTACATGACTGAAATTTAAATTCTGTTGCATATGATCGTAATTAGCACCTTGCAGTCTGAGGGTTTCCATTCACCACCGGGTTTGACCTCGGGGTGAGCAGCAATAACCTCCGCTTCCTGAAGATTTTCGATGAGCAACACGGCTTGTGGAAGTGAACCGGATAAATCGGGAACGAATTCCGGCTCAGGACAAAGATCTCCAGGCAGCCTGAACTTCCATTTAGAAACGTTTAGTAGAAACATTTGGAAAAAAACAGCAACATAGAAAATCGATAATATGTACATCGATATGTATGAAAAGCAATGATGCTATTCGAAAATAATGGGGTTGGAGAACATTAACCCTTTCGGCCCTGGCGGTGGTAATTGCCACCATCAAATTCAAATGTTTGCATTGCCGCTGAAACAGAACGGTTTTTCTAATCCTGCTAGAGGTTGCTTTAGTCAACCTTCCCCATCCTAATTATGATATAAACCTGCCACTTCATTGTGTGTTGCTGTCAGTATTACAAGGTGTACGCAACAATGAATCGGCGCTGGTCCCCGCAACCGGCCAAGTAAGTATCACTTTTTCTTGACACATTTGAAGTAGATCCATTCTTCAATCAAAAGTATGGGTTATATGTTGTGCAAGATTATAATCTTTTTCGACATATGTATGAAATTTGGAATTTTTTCGACATAATCTTAAAAACTAAGAAGGTAGGCCAATTTTCGAAGCTTCTTAGTTTCTTTGTTTGTGATCAAATAGCTTCCAAATTTCGCCATAATGTTACTTATATGCTCACAAGTAATAAACAATAGCTAGAAGGAAAATTTCTTTACGGGAAAAAATTCAGGTCCGAAAGAGTTAAACTACTGACTGAATAACTGGTCTTAGATAATTCGTTACCGGCAAGCATTTAGGGAGAAGTCTTTCAAACTATAACAATGGTGAAACCTGCAAGAAAGGTGTTCCGACTAAATTATGATGCAAAAGTCAAAACAATCAGAAAGTGACACGGAACAAAAAAATTCTGTTCGCTGGTATCTCAATGAACAGACTTAGCGGTACTTTTCAAAAGAAAGGTTTCACTGCTTTTGAAAGTCGACTGTCATGGCATAATTTGATCCTGCACAAGAAACCAAATTCTGGAAGGTTTTGCTTTAAATTGCACTGTCGCTCTGTCCGATGTAGCTTAAGAATCTCATCTAAGAAAGAATTTAGTACAGGAAACACCTAATAAGAAAGCTGCTTAACATCCTGCCAATTCCTCATAGAGATAAATATTACGCAAAATGGATTTGATTTTTCACAAATGTACTTTGCGAATGCCTTACATTCGCTCAACTTCGAAAGGCGGAGTAATGATACAAAAATTTTGCGATTCTGTGACCGCACGATTGCAAGGTCGCATGATCGACAGGTATGTATTCCATGAAAAATCGCAAGATCCTAAACTATAGCTACGACCGGTCTAAGAGCACTTAGACACTTTGCGACCGCCTTGCAATTCGAGTGCGGAATAGGAACGCATCGATCGCGCTATTGCGACTGTATGAGTCGTAATTTGTGAGCGCACTGTAACAGAGGCTTCGGTACGACCGTTCTGGTCCATAACATCAATGGTATCGTGATCCTTTAATTTATGTTCGCAACGCCGCCCGAATTCGTTCAAAACGGCGACCGGGTAGGAGGGGGAGGAGGAAGGAACGAATGGGAGAGATGCACAGTGAATTGGGTAGGAGAGTTACCCAATAAGAAAACAGACGTTTCCGGGGCAGTGGCGCCTTATCAAGGGTCAACGAGACGGGCTCTTCAAAGTCAGAAGCTCTTCCCTGCCCATCATTTCATACACGGAAATGATGGCAAAAGCTGCGTGAAGAACGTAAAAAAGTGGCCGTTCTGGCTCGATCTTTATCCCCTCGTGGCATAGTTGTCGTGCGGCTTATAGGCCAGCAGCTTAACTCTTGCGGACAAACCACCTCAGCTTTATCTACACCCTTTCTCTCAATGAGTTGGGAACTCTTATCCCTTTCCGAGCCAGCGCGACACTTTTAATTGAGACTAGGTTCAGTACTTTTCACATAAGAAACGTGTCATTCTTTGCTGTCCGAGCCTGTATCAACAATTCACAACACGCTTAAAGTCGGTCCGTAATGACGGGGAGACGTGCGCTTCTTCTCCTGGGGTCAGGTCATCAAAGATGTGCGATCATTGAAGCTTAAGGTTAAGTTTGGATCTAGACTTAGATGAAGGTTTATGCATACACACTGGCTTATGCCTATGCCTATGATTGGGCCTAGCCTTAGTCCTAAGCTTGCTCCGAGCGAATGAACGGCGTCTCAATTTTAGGTGGCCTGATCCCAGGAGGAGAAACGCTACGCACCCGTGATGACGCTGTCCACCAATGACCGTAACAAATGTGATAACTAAAAGTAGGATCGTACAAAAGTAAACAAGAATGCAAAACATACATGGCCAACGTAGTTTTTCTCTCCACTTTCTTGTCTGCAAATTCTGCAACGTTATTCAAGACCGTCAATGTTTGTCTGGCATTCTCAACCTCCTTCGGATCAGATTCATCCAGTATTTGCGGGAGCCTGAACAGTGACACAATTTCGTCAGCTATCTGGAAAAAGCTCACCTAGCCTGTCACTGTTGTCTGCTTTTTCTCAATACTCCAACACTTTGAATTGAATTATTGTTAGTAGTTAAGAAAAACATCCATCAGGAGTTGCAAAAACGCTGAAACCGTACTTTAAACTAAATGAAAGCAGTGTTCTACTCTGGAATTCGTAGCAACTTTAACGGCGTAAGTCACGCAGAAAAGAGCACGGATAAATTTTATTGCAACTCTCGTAATAAATTAATACTTAACTAATTGACAAACTAATCCATTTGTGCAAATTCTTGAGGAAAAAATGACACAAAGAATGTAAATGAGGCACCTTGCATTCTCAACAATTTTATCGACCACTTCGGTTGATTGATGTACTGCAGATTTTTTCGTAAACGGGGAGCCACTGAAAATACCGGAACTTCTACGACTGAAAAAGAGATGCCGCTCAAGCGTCGAATTACCAAAATTTTGACTCAAATAAAACAAAATTATGGATGAGCTAGATCGCCACTCACCTGTTTCCTGTATATCGTAAAAGAACAAGGTATACAGCCGAAAATGCGAAGACAAGGAAGACGAGATGCTTCGGGGCGAAGGTTCTGCAGATGCAATAACATTTTCGTAACATAGTTGATTCGAACACCTCCGTAGAACTTTGCAGAGCGCGACGGTAACGCTCTACGCACGGCGGTGTCTGTTAACGGCGCTACCAGCTCATGGAAAACCTGGAAGTACATTCACAGTGCATAGGAAACGTACATCTAGCAGCTCATTCGATTAGTGCGATTAGAACAATCAATAAAAACACATCAAAAGGGAAGAAAAGTTAGAAATTGGACATCCTGCAAGTCTTCGCTCTACTTTCATCTAAAGGACGCTACTAGGCCAAATGCAGCGGTCCCGTAACGCTCTAGTCTGCGCTGCAGGTGAACTCGTCCATTTCATCTTATCACGTCCTTGTAAAAACACCGTGGGTAGCCGTCGAGGTTGCAGCGCGCCACTACTGACATCGCAACCATCCGCTCATTTTCAACGCTGCGCGTCAAAAGAGTAGTTGGGAACTCGGTTTAACACCTTGACGACAACGCGGCAACTATGTGTGCCGCCATTTTCGCACCGTGTCGGACACTGTGGCAACTACGTGTGCCGCACCTGCTACATTTGTTTTTTCGCAAATGCACGAGCTCTTCAACTTTTTGGGTCCATTCTAAAGGCTATACAGTCGATATTCGGGTGCTAGACAGGAAGTGATGGCGCGCCGCATTCTTTGAACGGAAATGTATGTACGTGGGACTGCTGCTCCCTACTATATTGTCATGAGAATTGGTGAATTGGTGATCTAAGGGGGAATGTAGCCACTAGGGGGGTGGGAGGTGAGGGCAGCCACTTGACATGGGTGAAAAGCTGGGCGTGCCCATCCCACTTGTATAGCACCGATATTCGAGATTTGGGGTAGGCGCGTCACCGGAAGTGACGACTGCCGCCGTACTTGATATAAGTTACGTGGATAAGCTGTAGCCAGCATGTTTTGCTGGTATCCAGCAAGGTATGTTGGAAGCAGCTAATCCACACAGTTTCTCTAAAGTCGGCGCCACTTCATGTTCCGTGACCCGCCTGCCCCAACTCGAATATCGCTGTACATCAACACAACCAAGAAGTCCGTGGCTCACAGGATGGTCATTCCTTAGTTTGGCAGAGGTTTACCAGAGGTGCTAACTTAGTTGGGTAGCCACGCGGCGGCGCGGTAGTCTGCTCGCCTGGCATGCTCGGAAATCCGTGGGCCAGGGGGAGCGTAGGCAGTCTAGGAGGTGGGGGTAGGGGCAGTCACTTGACATGCGTGGAAGGCTGGAATGTTCGAGTTTACACTGTCTCGCTCGAGAGAGCCCAGGTGAGCAGACGCCGCACCGCCGCGTGCCCCCCCCCCAATAAGTTAGCACCTTACCAGACATTACAAAAATCTTTGTTCAGGTCATTCCTCATTTTCTTCTCATTACGTAAAGTGTACATATATCTTTCTTCAATGGTTCTGCCGCGAATGGCTAGGGCACAGAAGATTAGAGAACGGGTGAATACCGTGGGACTAAGCCTGGGACCAAGGAAAAGAGGGATCCGCGAGGAGCGCTGAAGCGGTTAAAAGCTGAGTTCAAGTAGCGTCCACCCTACTTTATAGCAAAAAATTTGCTCTTCTTCGTAGCATACAACTTATTTTGGTCGAACTTCCATTACTGGTGCAGTCGATATCCGAAAGTTGAGTAGGCGTGTCACCGGAAATGGCGTGCATTGATATAAGTTCGCGAATAAGCTATTGTCACAATGCTTTGTCTGATATTCAGGCTATGTATGTTGGAAGCAGCTTATTCCACACAGCTTCTATCAAGTGCATGTCACCTCCGCAGATACGCCTACCCTAACTTCGGATATAGTAGTATAATTCCCCGATAACCACAAATTGACACATTCTGTCGCATACAAGTGTGCGTCCACGGTTACGAGGTGATGCAGAGGCGCCGCATATACCGCGCTGGTCGCCACACGCTGAGGCCGATGTCATAGTTGCGAATCGAGCGGATCGCTAGCGAAATCGCTAGATCCGAGCTTGCGCAAGCGAAGCGCAACGTTGCACCAGTCGAATAAGAACTTTGCGTCGCCAGCGGTCGCCCGATGTAAGCCAGCGTAGTCGAACTAGGTTCCAAAATGGCTAGACGACCGGGAGAAGTGTGGATAAGGGTTGCCGGAGGGAAAGGGGTTACATGCTAATGGTGGGCTAAGCTTGCACAAAAGTGGGCGGAGTTATGCACGAAACATTATTACTCGGTTCCAAGAAGTCTTGGACACCAGGAAAAAAGTACAGACGTCAGCGAAAGCAATGAAGTTCCAGTGGGCAGGACATGCGCAAAAGTGGGCAGGGTCACCCATGAATTTCGAAAGAGAAGTGTCTCCAAAGCAGCCGTACCTTGGAACCTCACTCAGCAGCTCTGCAGTAATAGAGAGAGAACATTGGTCACAGACATAATTTTAAGCCTTACCACCTTCCGAAAAAAACCCTGTCTTGGAAGAAAGACCCTCTCCGAAACCGCCTTATGGTTATAATAGAAAATATAGTTTGACCTAATAGTCGGTGTAAATAGGATGTACCGAAAGAAAACTAAAATCTAGAAAAGAGCAGTGATCATCCTATTTGAACCCCCGTGTGATGCACGCGAATGCGTGCGCAGCCAAACTGGTGTAAGTACATTTGACGAGGTGTGCCTTCTTTTCGAAAAATTAGAAGAGTACCTGATGCTGACCATACACCACAAGGGACGACGGCCTTCACAAAATGTGAATGTTTTCTGCCAATTGATTCGATTCGCTGGCGCAACGCTCGGATCTAGCGATTCGCTAGCGAATCGCTCGATTCGCAAACTATGACATCGGCCTGAAACAGCCAAGGCGAGCGATGTCGTACGTGTTAACTAGCCACAATTTGATGCTGCCTCACCCAAACAGCGACTTTTGACTACTGTGATTTCACAAATTTGTATTCAAGCTTTTACCACACTAAGTGGTCCACTCACTGCAGAGTCCCGCCGTCCCCCCCCCTCCTCAAGGCGGTTAGTTTTAAGGCTCTCACCTTACTCCTTGGACCGAGGCAGGCGTCGTCCTCTAAGGGCACATTCATGGTCGGTCGTCCGATCCTAATCATCGGTCTATCATCCGACTACATAAATTTCGCCCTAACGTATTCACAAATTCGGCGTTCCCATCCTACTTGTATTGCACCAGCTTATTAATCGCAGCTTATTGAACTTAGTATTCAATGCAATAACTGTTAGCTAAGCACTTACCTTCTCTTTCAAAAAACGAGAGAAGCGTCGGGTGCAGACCATACACAACAAGTGACGACAGCCATCAAGTAAATCTGGCTATCTGTGGTTCATAGTGATAGATGATTTTTGGTAAATTGTAATTGGAATTAGTGACAACTGATAGAATACTACTGCAACAGATTAATCATCTCATTGGCAGAAAACATTCACATTTTGTGAAGGCCGTCGTCCCTTGTGGTGTATGGTCAGCATCAGGTGCTCTTCTAATTTTTCGAAAAGAAGGCACACCTCGTCAAATGTACTTACACCAGTTTGATTCGCGTGCATCACACGGGGGTTCAAATAGGATGATCACTGCTCTTTTCTAGATTTTAGTTTTCTTTCGGTACATCCTATTTACACCGACTATTAGGTCAAACTATATTTTCTATTATAACCATAAGGCGGTTTCGGAGAGGGTCTTTCTTCCAAGACAGGGTTTTTTTCGGAAGGTGGTAAGGCTTAAAAATTATGTCTGTGACCAATGTTCTCTCTCTATTACTGCAGAGCTGCTGAGTGAGGTTCCAAGGTACGGCTGCTTTGGAGACACTTCTCTTTCGAAATTCATGGGTGACCCCGCCCACTTTTGCGCATGTCCTGCCCACTGAGACTTCATTGCTTTCGCTGACGTCTGTACTTCTGTCCTGTCTGTCACGAAAATTCCGAATTAAGGCGGACAACAACCTACTGGGTCCAGGTTCAAGTATGGAGGTGGGTGCACCCTATCTCGAGAAGTAAAAAACATAACATTACCTTAAGCGGAAGCGTCGCCCACAGTGGGCGTGGCTGCGTCGAAACGAGTGGTACTGAGGACCATGAACTTCACATTCAGTCACAAAACAGACTCGAAGAGACGAGGAAAAAAAGGGTATATAGTTGTGCGTTGGTAAGCCAGCTCGAATTGAGGAGACCCACCCTCGGTGGGCGAGGCGTTCTCATAAAAAGCGGTGCTCAGTCGAAAATATTCATAACGGTTAAGAAGAAGGCCAACAGAACAAAAGCGAAATTTAAAA